TCTGAGCTCAGCCGAGGAAAGGGAGGATATATTCCTTCTCCAACAGTGATCGTCAACAGGTTCATACCAGGCTACACGCCAAGAAGAGGGGACTTCGAAGTGGACTATGATGACTGCGCCGAACTCCTTCTCGCAGATATGGAGTTCAACCCCTCAGATCGACCCGAGGACACCAAAATAAAGGCTGGTGAGGACGGTGTTGGAAAAGTCGTCGTTGACGAGTGCTGGCAGATGTCCTGTTGGCCTACAACGCGCGGTTGTCCCTTCGTGAGGAAATGAAGCGTTATGTTGTGGCTCGACAGATGGTTCTGCAACAGCCGCCGTGCAGTGCATCAACAGGGGGTGGGGGAGTTCCTGCACCCCCTCCTGTGAATGCACATACGCGTGCAGGTGTGTTGATAGTGTGGTGACTTGTGATGAGAATGTATGTGGCTTAGGGCAAATCTTGAGTCGACTTCTCCGACCTGTGGAAAGGTTTTTTGATTCTAAGGACGACTGTGAGGAGTTCAAACAAGTAAGTGGTGGTAGATTCGGCTCGGGGAATTTTATGCAACCGGCCCGTTGTCAATTATTGAGGAGTGTTGGCTCGGAAGGAGTTTGGGGAATTTTATGCAACCGGCACGTTGTCAATTATTAAGGAGTGCTGGCTTGGAAGGAGTTTGGGGAATTTTATGCAACCGGCCCGTTGTCAATTATTGAGGAGTGTTGGCTCGGGAGGAGTTTGGAGAATTTTATGCAACCGGCCCGTTGTCAATTATCAGGGAGTGTTGGCTTGGAAGGAGTTTGGGGAATTTTATGCTACCGGCACGTTGTCAATTATTAAGCAGCGGTGTTAATGGTTGCTCGCGATTGGCTCGGAAGCAGTTCGGGGAATTTTATGCAACCGGCCCGTTGTCAATTATTGAACAGTTACTGTTGGAGGAACAGAGGATCGAACACAGGCTAGAGGAGCTGGAAGGGATGAAGTCGGACGAGACGGCCTCTGCTGATGCATCAGCACGTCAAGGCACCATACCAGATGCATGGATGAGGAAACATGTTCTTAGGAAGCGACGAGTTAATAAGGATATTGTGAGAAAAAATACCCTCACCAGGGATCGAACCTGGGACCTCATTGACAGGTGAAATCCGAGTGTGTCAAGAACCTAGGCGAGCAGGAACTTGCGTGGTGTGAAGAGGTTGATGTATCACCACATCACTTCGCACTAGTACGGGATGCACTCGTACGCGAAGCCCTGAAGGGCATGGCAGGAGGAGAAGGAAGAGGAGCTCAATTGGTGAGTGTTTGCAGTTGCCCCTTCCGAGAGACAGCTTTGGTGGTGTAGGTGCTGAAGATCTCTCGAGCCGAGCCTCTTAGTCGTACATTCAAATTCGAACTGGAAGATGCAGGAGAGAACGCTCACGTTATGGCCCCTCGGAACCCCGAGCGAGCGTCACCAGCGGCAACTGCAGGCGGCTGAGAGGATGACGTGGAAGGACGATTTCTATTATGAATTACTCGCCT